CAGCTTTACCTGCAGTGAATATTTTATACCTTTATCAATAAATTTAAACAAAAGTGATAATGATTACTCACTCTAGGCCTGATCCCACAACCTTTACTCACACAAGCAGTCCCACAGGATTTTAATATCACCACCTCAATGAATAAGGGTTTGCAGGACAGGTTTTAAATTATTCATATATTCACAGATTTTTAAGACCAGAAGGGACCATTATGATCATCTAGTCTGACCTCTTGTATAACAAAGGCCACACGATTTTAGCCAGTAATATTTGCACTCGCTGAATCATCTGTAGTAAGATCAAATTGTGTTTAGCAAACTTCCACTATCAATTCAAAATTTTCAAGACAGAGAACTGAAATGGTTTAGAAAGTGGCTTGGACACACTTCATCACAGTTGAACCCAATTATTCCTCTATTTCTATTCAGAATTCTTCTGCCTTCTGGACACTGCCTTTTGGTGTGGTTTTCACAGACTCCCGAGTCCAGCACTGCCTCAGGTACTCCCAGGCCAAAATCAAGCAACCTCCTGAGCTCCTTCAAAACATTAATTGCCAGTTAATTGCTATCTGCTTTCTGCACTTTTACCACTCCTGCCCTGCACCATGACTTCTGAGACACAGATACCACAAGTGAAAAGACATTCAATTAGTGCTATCAGTGATGCACAAACAGGAAATCCAACATTTCCACCTTAAGGACAAAAAAAACCCAAAACCACTTTTCTGTGTTTACTAAATTATTAACTCTCAGCCTTTCTCACCCAACTTCTTCATCTGCTCCTGAAAGGACAGCTCTTATTTTAAATTACTCTTAAGACAGTTTTTATCATACTGTGTATGCAACCTGTAAGGTAAAAAGTTTATACTCAGAATATTATGTGCAATTCAGAAATATCCAATTGGATTATAATCATCCCTGTTCAAGCAACTCAGTCCCCTTAGTGCACACAGACTTTCCAAGCCAGGGGGTTTATGCTCCATTAGGGCCAGCACTCTCCAATCACACAACTCTCAATGACACAAAGAAAGTGCTTTTTATTTTTCC